GTTCAATGCTAGTCGAGACCGATGGGCCGGATATCTAAAGTTCACGTGTCGCAGTGCATATCCTCGGTTGTGTCTGGTACCTTGGTGTATGCGCTTTTGCCTTGCCTGGAGAGCTCTGAGCTGCTGGTTTGCATTAGTTCCTCCAGTCGAGCAGCAGCGGCATGGGCGCCCGCAATGTCAGGAGCATGTGCGAAAAGAGCAGACGCAGACTGGGACCCCCAGACCGTGGCTGCAAAGCAAATGAAGAACTGCTGGACGTTGTACTCGCCAGTTGCGATAAGATGAGTACCTCCGTACCAGAATACGAAAGCAATGCTTAATATGCGAAGAGAAGTGGTGCATGCATATATGATGGCAGATACAACCCAGTACCTGCGTTGGCTGTCTCGCTGGCTTTCCCTTTGGAAGGACTCGCTGATGGTCCTCTGCAGACCGAGGACAGTCACTGTCTTGATGGCAGTAAATGCCTCATGTGCAACGGCCACGGCATTGGTGTCACGCTTGACGTGCTTCTGGACATGTGCCACAATATTGTACTGCATAAAGCGGAGACAGCTACCACTGGGACCGTTGCTGTCGCGACGAGACCAAGTTTCCATCCAAAGATGCATCCAACTGTAATTCCTGTCGCGAGCATTACAACACTTTCGGCCACGAGTCCCAATGAGGTTCCCGAAATACCGGTGATTTTTGGAGTTCCAGATGAGAGGAAACTCACCAAGGCCCCAGTCGAGTGATTTTTAATCTCGAAGAAAGGGAGGTTCTTCAGGGCCAAAGCTTTGAACAAATGGGAACGAGCTCGAAGACATAACTGAGATGCAGACACGGCAAAGCAGTATCCCCGTACACAATAAACCACAAACACAACGACACCATAAGCAAGATACAATAGGGCCCAAAAGCGAACGTTGTGTCGGCCAGTGCTCAGACTAGGGCTAATGATGGACATGACTCCGTTGCCGAAGAAGATCGCTTGGATTGGATATGTCATTCCAGCTAAAACGCTGAAAATGACGCCTGCGGTAGCGTAAGGCAACTCTGGCTTGTTGAGATGCCAAACATGCTTGATGCTATTGCTGTGTGGCAGTGGAGCATCTTCTGGCGTCTCTAGGGTATTGCTATTGACTGAGATGTCCCCAAGATGCTCTTTGTGGATGTTTGCTAGGGTTGGTGGCTGGCTAGCAATACCGTCCTCTGATCGGTAACATGATCGGAGTGTCTGCTGTCTCACTAGTTCTTGGTACATTGTGGATGTGGCCATTAGTTCTAAGTGAGAACCTTGATCTAGAACCTGACCGTCCTTCATCACAATGATGATATCGGCATTCTGGATTGTCGATAGCCGATGGGCTATTATCAAGGTGGTTCGCTCTGAAGCAGCCTTGCTGAGAGCTTCTTGGACTTCCTTTTCGTACTGACTATCCAGGGCAGCTGTAGCCTCGTCCAGCAGTAGAATTGCTGGTTGAGATATGATGGCACGGGCGATAGCAATCCGTTGCCTCTGACCCCCGGAGAGACTCGATTCATTTGCACCAATTAGGGTGTCGTACCCATGGGGCAGATTCTCAATAAACGAGTGAATCTGAGCAGTTTCAGCAGCCTGGATAACTAGGCTTCGAATCGCAGATGCGTCCATTTTCTGTTCATATGAGTCAGTAACCGAAACTCAAAGGCAAAAGACAACTGTCATGAAACACCTCAGCGGCAGCTCTGGGAAGCCCATACGCAATGTTCTCGTGCATTGATGCACGAAACAGAGTAACCTCTTGGCCGACATATCCGATCTGAGACCGTAACCATGAGACATCCATCTCATCGATCCGCTCACCTTCCAGAGTGATGCGGCCACCGAGTGGGTGGTATAACCGTTCTAAAAGGGCAAATATGGTTGATTTTCCTGATCCTGATGGTCCCACCAAGGCTACTGTGTGTCCAGCAGGCACGTCGAAAGTGACGCCTCTCAAAACAGTCCGCTCAGGTCGCGAAGGATACGCAAAGTGTACGCCTTCTAGCCGGACTGCCCCTCGGACCTGACTGTATGTCTTCCCAGTACCTACCATCGAAATCATAGGCGAATCCTGCTCTATGACTGAGAAAACGCGACTGGCTGCCGCATGAGCCTGGGTGACGTTAACAACACATGGCAACGCTTGGCATAGCATCCCACCTGCAACAGACATTGCATACAAGATAGTCAAAGCCTCTGATATGGTGCAACGCCCTTGACGGACGAGGTGATCAGCCTGCCAGAACTGGAGGAGCATTAGCAGGCATCGCATTCAGATCGAACCAGGGGTGGAGGGAAGCGGTTGACATACACCTAGCCCATTTCCCCAGTGCAATGTCATGAAAGAGCCCGCAACAATCACTCCAAATATTAACCGCTCCCGGAAGTCCAAGGCCGCTGGGCGGCCCAAGGCCTTTCGATACTTCTTAGCATACCTTTCCTGGCTTCGGTAAGAAATAACGCTCCTCATGGCACTGAATACTTCCTGGGCTAAATTGTCCGCTTGAACACGTTCAGCCAAGCCCATCTGCTGCACCACACTCAGCCAATACCCCATCAATCCCACGAGTAGAATCAAAGTGATCGGCTGGGATAACATGATCCCTGCAAAGCGCCAGTTCCGTACAAATGCGCAGATAATGGCGACCACGAAGCCGGACAGGCCGGACAGAAGGTCACCCATCTTCTGCGAGATGCCAGCTTGAATCCATTTCATATCTTGATCTATGTGGGATGTGAGCTCCCCGGTTCCGACTACATCGAAATAAGCCATGTTCTGCTGCAGAACCGAAGAAAGATATTTCTGCTGCAGGTGGCGGGCTATCTGCTCTCCGATGAAATTGAAGCCTAGTGTGCTAATAGCGGTGGTGACCAATGACCCGATTGCTGGCCCGTTGTGTCAGATAACAAGAAGAGAACATGGATTTGGAAAGTGCACGCACCGATATATACCAAGAAGAGCGTGAGATGCTGGACCTGGTCTCGAATCTCCTGCGATGTATGGTGTTCTCCGTTGATGAATTCATCTGCCAATGCGCCGAACACGACGGTCACCAATGGCATTGCTGCACCGGCGGCTACCGCACAACATCCTGATACGCACAGCATACATAACTGCGAGGCGTTGGCATATCGGTAAATGGAGAAGAAGTTGGCGGTGCTGCGCTCAACATGGATCTGGGACTCGATTATCTCTGCCACGTGAGATGTGCCAGCAGTGGACTGGATGGTAAGGAGTGGGATTGCCTGACCAGGCATCCTCAGGTTTGTCAAAGGTACATGCGGATTTTTCTTGCTTTCAGGGGAATAGGACTATTTATAGGGACTTGTAGGGTCGTTCATCACGTGGATCAAAGCATTCTACACCATTCACTTTTGCGGACTGATCTACAGCATATTTGAGTCCTAGCGGGCTATCTCTCTCTCACTTGTCCATCTCAAGCAAAGCCATCAACTGTCGATGAATCGCGGGCCACACCCCAGCTCGAGTCTTGAACAAGAGCACCCGCCGGCTGGAGCTGAATTAATACTACACACGGAGTAGTATGTGCCAATACACTGGACTGCGTACAATGCCGGTATCTCCGGGGATTGCGTCTGGCTGAATCTGGTTGAGTCTGGCTGAAGGCATCCCATGACGCTGCGGCGCCACAGAAAGTAGACCGAAATCGGCAATGTGGCTGGGGGGGGGAGGAACCACGTGCAGTGAAGCCCTGATTGGCAGGCAGCAATGAGGCACTCAACCCGGTGGCGGATGGCCTTACGCAGTTGGTACCAGACTGTTAGGAAAGAGAGGAGGCACAGCATCATGGATAGTAGTATCTGGTTGCCTGCCTGCCATGACTCACTAGTGGTCGCAGCCTAAAAAAAACCCCCAAACTTTGGTCATTAGCACAGTCGTGATTCGGCGCTCAACTAGGGCTCTCAACTGCCAGTGATACATCTTCGATACATACCAATACGGCGTCTGTTCGATCATACCACGTGTGCAGGCATGATGCTGAGTGCTTTCTGGGTTTGAAACCAGTCACTACATACCTACCATATTCTTTTTAAGCGCCCAGGGCCAGGATTATTAATGCCGTATAACTAGACCGGCGTCGCACCGCTTTCCGGTCTCCATCATCATTACTCCAAATCTATCATTCCCAACCGCCAACCTTCCCTTTCAAGTGGCGGATCCGCCAAGAACCCTTTCAGTCACGTGGTTAGCGTTGCTAGATGCCTTGTTTTCCGTCCTGAAAAATTTGGCACTCCGTCCTTCCCAGTTAAGCAAACCACCAACCATCCATTCGCCCAGTGACAAACCCGAACGCGATTGAGCTCGCCGTCCGGCCAATATCAAGTTTCTTCCCCGCCCCTCTCTGCATCTTTTGACCTCTCTCATCCACACCATTCTATCTATCGTCTGTGCCTCGTCTCGACCCCCTCGTTTTCTCACGCCACCTCGGCCACCCCCCTTCTCAATTGAACGGCGGGGTTGTAGCTGCGCTATGGGTGACGGCTCTGATTACCCTAGTCCACGAAGCGAAGGTCCCGGCGGACCTACCTCTGTTCTAGTCACTGCCCAAGAATCGCTCTCCCCAGCACCCAAGATGAACGACCAGCTGTCTCCGAATTTCATGGAAGGGACGCGCCCGCGTCTGTCGGTGAGAAGAGCGCGGGATCCGCCCAAGAACGCCGCCGGCCAAATCTACTGCGACCATCCCGAGTGCCAGCACTCGCCCCCAACCTTTCGCCGTCCGTGCGAGTGGAAGTAAGTTTGCCTTTGGTGTCCTTTGATGTGTGTGCGAAACAGTTGTACCCGATCGAGGAAGCTAACGGATCGCCACCGCAGCAAACACATGGACAAACATGACCGCCCCTACAAGTGCATGGAACCCGGATGCGACAAGATCCAAGGCTTTACATACTCTGGCGGTCTGCTGAGGCATCAGCGCGAAGTGCATAAGAAGAACATCAATGCCAAGAAACCTTTGATGTGTCCGTACGCCGACTGTAATCGCAGCACGGGCAACGGGTTCACGCGTCAAGAAAACCTGAAGGAGCACCTTCGCCGCCGCCACATGCATACCGAGAATGGGCATGCATCCGAGCTGCCCATTGCATCGCCCGAGCTGGATGGCACCACGTCGTTTGTGACTGCGTCGGTGGCCCTGAAAAGGAAACGCGATTCCACCGGGGAGGATCCGACCCTCGAGCTTCCCGAAGGGGAAGAGAATGGTGTGGATTTGCGCAATGAGCTGAAGCGGCTGCGTCGCGAGGTTCAGGAAAAGGACCGCCGGTTGGAAGAGCTGGAGCGCATTGTGGCCGGACTGCAGCAAGCTATTCCTCAGACCGCAACGTCACAGGGTTAGCATGTTTTCGAGTGGTACTCGTCCATCGCTCTTTTCTCAATATTTTTTTTTCTTTTTCTCTTGATCTTTTCTATCTCCCATCTCCTCTTTCCCTTGCTCTCATTGGCTCAGAAGCTCTACGTTTTTATGGTTTGCTGTATGAAATTTGCATTCTATGGGCGTTCATCTATGCAGATTATGGGCCTTGGTTGTTTTCGCGATTCTGTCTACAACATCAACGGGAGGTGTTCATATGGGTCGGTCTCCATCTCGGAACGCATGGATAAGATCAGGCAGCTGTGAAGATTATGGCGTTTGCTCGAGGTCGTTGATACAGACCGGGTGGTGTTTTTTTTTTTTTCCTTCCTGATGGCTCCCATTACTACCCTTTCTCCATTTTCTCTATTCCCTGAAATATACCCAGGCGTTTGACCCTGTTTCTTTTGTTGCTGATCTTACTTTGCTTCCACTTTATCCTCCGATTCAATCGTAGTCGTCGATCCTGAAATGCGTAGTGCCTCCACGTCAGCGAGGTAAATCATAACGATGTATCTCATCTCCTCTTTCTCTCTTCCTCTCTCTCTCTCTTTTGACCACATGGGATGCCAAGGCTCCTTTTCGTATCGCTGTTACAATCGTGACCGGCACCGGCCACATTCCTAGTCCTATCTAGATAGATCTGTCAGACCGGCATCGATCTCTGCCTTGCCCCCCAAGGCATACCATACACGATCCTTCTAGGAATCCTTCAACTTTTAGCACAAGGCTGTCTATCACCCACGCACGGTG